GTTTGGTGGTGGGTCAGTGATGGTCTGGGGAGGCATATCCATGGAGGGACGCACAGACCTATACAGGCTAGACAACACCACCCTGACTGCCATTAGGTACCGGGATGAAATCCTTGCACCCATTGTCAGACCCTATGCTGGTGCAGTGGGTCCTGGGTTCCTCCTGGTGCATGACAATGCCCGGCCTCATGAGGCGAGAGTAAGCAGGCAGTTCCTGGAGGATGAAGGAATTGATACTATTGATTGCCCCCCCCCCACGCTCGCCTGACCCAAATCCAATAGAACACCTCTGGGACATTATGTTTCCATCCAATCGACGCCACCAGGTTGCACCTCAGACTGTCCAGGAGCTCAGTGATGCCCTGGTCCAGATCTGGGAGGAGATGCCTCAGGACGCCATCATTTCCATCAAATGATGTGGCATCCTTTGTTCCTAACACATCACCCAGTTCATAGCAGGATAAATAAACAGCAGGACTTTTTGCCCCATTAAGATCTGATGTGTTTTCAAAGTGTTCCTTTATTTTTTGAGCAGTATACATAAAATGCACTAAAATATGAAAATTTGAATGTTTTTTCTTATCTTTTATGTAAATTGTCTTGTTTTATTGGCAGAGTGTCTCATTTACCTCAATTCAAGAAAAAAATGACTTGTTTTAAGAAAAAATAACTTATTTAGATTGCATTTTTTTTGCAGCATAGTTTTTGTTGCCATTGCCAACTGGCACTGCGGCGGTTAAACTGAGCCGAGTCCGTGTGCGTGCAGAGCATCATCAAAACTTTTTTTTTTTTTTTTAGAGAAAACATTTATGTTTCTGAAATCCTGATGGTTCTGCTGCATTGAAATGTCTGAAGTAATTAAAAACATTAAAAGCAGTTAAACAATTGCACTAATTTCCCGGATAAATAACGGCCCTCTGAATACGGGCTAAACATCAGACAGAGATGAAACTTACTGTAGTGACTAGTTCCAGCTGCTGGCAGTAGTGCTGCTCCGTCTGAACCAGTTCTTTGGCTGCTCGGCTGCGTTTTCTCTCCCAGCGGCTCCTCTGCTCCTCCACACTGTTGCTCCCAGAGAGACTGGGAGGATGAGGAGAGAAACTCATGGCCTCTGATGAGGAGGAAGAAAAAACAAGCCAGCAGATCAGGTGGAGCAACACTCCAGGCTTTGCTCTGGTTTATTGCAGGTGTGGAAGGAGACCTCTGGTAAATATTCTTTGTTAGTTTTCTCCTTAATCATCATCCTCTCTCCCTTCTCACAGCCCTTTAAGTCTCTTTCAGTATATGAGTTTTTTCCAAAGTCATTTCTAATGAAGTTTCCTTCATAATCACCAGACTGACAGCCGTCCCAGCATGCACTGCAGCAGCTTCCAG